AAATAGGTATAGTAACAGAGGTCCCGAAATGGAAACGAGATAGAGTCTAGTTTGGTTTGCATTTCTATTTACGACGTAGTTCATTAACCCGTATGCAGCTAGATACGCATCGCTCGTCTACCTATGTACGACGTGCCAATAAATAATGTAGCCAATAAATGGCAATTATTCTTCTGAAAAATATTGATTAAAATATTCAATTAAAAAAAAAAATTCTATTTTTACGATTTAAATCCTATGAATTATAAAAATGTAATTACTAAATCACGTTTTATCTAAAACGCATTGCGTTCTTTATTATTTTCTCATGTTTTTTCGTATGTATTAAAGATATGAAAAGAACCTATATGAAAAAAACGATTTCACTGAAGTATTTAAAAATTCGTAGGTAGATACAAATTTGCAAATAATTTTGTTGGTCTGTCAAATTAATTATGTGAGAAACTCCAAGCATGATAAGCAGTGCTGGAAAAAGTTTTGACATTCTTGTAATTAATTTGAATGTCCTACATAATTATTTTGATAATCCAATAAAATTACTTTTGGATCTGTATCCAGCTAAACTTTTAGATTGACTTCAGTGAAACTGTTCTTTCTATGTACTGTTTTAAACGCCTACTAAGAAGGAAAATATGTGTCTGTATCTGTATTTATATGTGTTTGTGTACATGCATATGTATGGGTAAAAGATTTCACAGAGAGAGAGACGTGTTGACACAAAAACTATATAGAGCCGCGGATAAATCGGACAGTTCGCGCGCTACTTTTCAATTGAACTAATATTGATTTGACGGCAAGTGTAGCCATATGCAATTCGCGACGAAGCAATAGGTGGATCTCGGATTACACAGCCGCAGTCGCAATTGCATTAACGTGGTCTCAAGCCGATGCCACCGGCAGTCTACGCGTTGCGCCCGCCACAAAACAGTGCCGCCACAAATCTCACGCGAGCACAATTCATCCTAAATTTAATTAACACGGAAATTGAAATTTCCATTTGTGTTGTGAAATACAGACGCGATTTATATATCGAGATGCAGTGATACGTAACAATTTTGCAAAATTGTGTTTTGACATTGTAGTGTCGCGAAATTGTGCCGTAGTGACTTTACGGAAATTCATGGAAGGTGTTGAACGGTTTCTGTTCACATATAATGGAATACGGAATTTAAAATACGATTGATTCGCGCAAGCTAAGAAATTTATTTAAATTGTTACAATTGTCAAAAATTCTATCGCTCTCTCGGTGCAAAAAGAAATCAATCGGTAAAAGAGCCCCTATAGTAATCAAAGAGAATCGATGATAACTCTTATATAAACGATTATATCGCCAATCATAAAATTATCATAGTTGGCTTCTCTTGTGTTGACAGGCAGAGTAAATAGGCCGGAAGTAGATGTTTGAAGAGACACGGCCTTTTGTGGAACAGATACAAGAATTTATCGATTAGAGATGTAAATACCGGTTTTCTATATACAATTTATCTAACGCTTATGTAATTCTCAATCCATAATTTTATACTATTACGTACAATATGCGGCGTAATTGATTCTTGACTTAAATCGCGATTTCTAACACGCCCAATACGAATACTCGAACGGTGTGATTCTCGGAAAGTAATGCCGTGAAATGCTTGAAAGGATTTGAGAAAGGATTGAGCCTTGAAAGGGATTGAGGTGAGGTGAGGTTAAGCCCATAAGAGGGCGAGGAAACAGGGAGGAGCACCGGCACCGAAAGTAGGTACTTCGAGATATCGACCAGTCAGTCTGGACCGTTCCACGTTCGCGCTGTATCCATTTTCTCGTTCGCTCCTTGTTCGCAACTGGAAAAAGGCTGGCTGCAACACTGCTTCTTTCTCGTAAAGCAAAAAAGATTGCGAGATACTTTTCTTCAATGTTACTGCCATTTTTAGTTTTAGAGAGAGCGTAATTAGCTAACTTGTCCTCAATTGCATAAAATCCGTAGTCACAAGACTCAAGCTGTGAGAAACAAAGAATCGATATAATCTTTCTCGTTCTGCTTCAATATTAAGAAAATATGGCCATCCCAGTGTAATATTTTTTCAAACTTGTGGAGATGACGTATTCGATGATTCAATATCAAGAGTTCCCTAATGAAGCGAATAGACCTTGATATCGAACGGTATCCAAGGCGAGAAACTCATCTATTGTCATTGAGGCATTCTATCTACCAGCCTAGTTGCGGCGAACAATAGCCGCGAAGTCTGCCTGATCAATCCAATTAGGAACGGTTAGTTACACGATTCCTCATCTAATTAATATCGAGGAACTAAATTCGCGCACTGTAATTAACGCGCTTACTCGACTAAAATGTCGACGTAACAAATAAATTACGTAAACTAGATATACAATAACTATATATAATATAATTATTTCGATGCTTTGATCGATATGTAATAAATTTTCTTTTAATAGAATTGTTTTAAAAGAATTTTAATTTACAAGGAACAAACTCGCGAAATGTTAGATTCTAACTTTAATCTTCCGTCTGAAATCCGAGTCTTTTTTTGGCACAAGCGAAATTTCTCAAATTTTTCTCCAAAATAAAGTCCAGTTTCTTTTTCTCATATCTTATATTATAATATTTATTCGATAATATAATATAGATGTTGAAAAAAAACTTAAAATTTTTTCACATTTTTTGAAAGCCTAAAACTGTAAAAAACTTAGGCTGGAGAGTTAATAAAATTTTATATACATATAGGTTAATAGATGAATTTAGAAAATATCAGATGATGTGAAAAAATGAATTTAAAGGGTAAAACCATTCTTTACTAATATCTTTTGCATAAAACATTTATATTGAATAATGTTTTAAATATAACAAAAAAAGACCTATAAAGGGTGATTTCAATCTTTAAAACCTTTTTTCCGCACCAAATAAATATTTTCAAAATTCTATTTATGTAATCTATATATGTATTGCAAAGTTTCATTAACCTTCAATTATAGCTACGAAAATTACACATAAATTCTAAAGCGTTCTGTTTAAAGTACAGGGTGCAAGTGAACCTCCCCTTTATATTTCATCGATTTTTTTCATCTACAATTTAGAAACTCGTATTACTAATCGTACAGACTGTACAATTGTCCAAAAATTTTTGCTGTAGACTCAAACGATCTATAGTCAAGGGTTAAAATGAGAATTTGACACTCCGCGAGATTCCCTTGTTAGAATTTAATTATAAAAATACGCAATGTTAAAAAATAAAAAGCAACGAGCTATGTTTTCGCTGAATAAAGCTCTCTAACTCGGTCGCTAGAAGCATGCGATCACATGAATGTCCTCCCCTCCGTGACTTCTTGTTACCCTTTATGTAATAAATTATGACAGAAGCGACTGCTTTAAATAAAAACTGCGATTCACGCTCTCGTAAGACGGAAAATATCACCGCCTCTGCTCTAACGTGCATCCGGGGAGAAAAAAATCCCTGACGCGAGTGTACAGGCTCGTGTGGGGCACAATAAAGTCTACACCCCAACCCATGAAATGCCATGGTGACAAAGGGCGGTTAAGCCCTTCTCAACGTTGTTGTAGACGCATCGCATACATACGTGTCGTCGCGCGGCGCGCGGGCGTCATTGCATTGCGCGGAGCGAAGCGGAGCGGAGTGGAGCGGAGCGGAGCGGAGCGAGGCAAAGCGGAGCGATGCGGCCCCTCCTGCGTGAGCGCTGCGCGGCCCCGTTTCCCCATGGAAAAGCCTCATTTCCCGCGCGATTGATTCCCGGCGAGATCGTACCGAGTTTGCGACCGGCATTATATATAGACTATCGATTGCGCCGCCTAACCTTTGAGTGAGAAAAAGAGCGTAACGAGGATGAGAAGCGCGGATAAGTACGTCCGAGATGTTCGAGCGGCAGTCATGCTCGTCGATTAAAAGCGAATGCACCAGGTCAACTGTTATTGAAGATCGACCGCGTCGATTGCGACGATTCGTTGCGTTTCGATTAGTCGTGCCACTCGAATCAAGTTCGTACCAAGATCAAACAGTGCTTGACCGAAGTTAACAAACTATTATACTAATTTTTGAAATACCGTTGAGTGTTCAGATTCTGTGTTCCACAAATGTCAATTTAATCGTATTATTTTCGATTAATGAATGGTGAACGGTGTATCGCCGAATAAGCTTGTGTGTCATTCTTCAGTGTATTCTTTACCAAGTATAGATTGTGTAATTTAAAAAAATTTTGATTGCCAAATAGATAAATAAGTAGTCATAACAGTTAATCGATTGCTCGGTTGTTCGACTGTTCGATTGACAGTCTTGTTATTACCTTTCCGATTATTAAAAAATAAGCTGTAATACGTGTATAGGTTGAATAGAATATTCGGGACACGGCGGTTATATTTGGTAAAAACAATAAAAATTCAATGAGCCCGAATGTCATTATGATTGAAAGACGCAAACAGAAATAGGACGTTCGTGCGAATCGACTTGCACGATCAACGAGTACAACAATCGGCGTTCGTTATTTATCAAAGTAGGGCACGATGCAAATGGCGTGTAAAGCAGCGATAATAAATAGCTAATAACAATTAAATTAATAATAACTAACTAGTTAAAAACAATACCAATTAACGCAAAACATTTATCTAAACAATGATTGTGCAATACTAAAAGATTTCGTGTGAGGTTAACTACATAAGCGTTCATTTAAAAGAAGAAGATAACATTTTTAATTAAAAAAATTATCTCAGAATTTATTTTTTAAATAAAAGTCATCATGGAAGTCGAAGTTGTACCTTTCATCGATAAAAACTCAGGCAGAAAGGACACTCTGCCACGACGGGGTAGCCGAGTGCAAATTGTTAAAAGAAAAGGGTAAGATCATTATTCGAACATGACATATTTGATACGACAAGATAATCTGATGAAGTTTTTATCTGTCGATGTAACTGATTCTTGCAATATAGATCGACTATCATCTGTCAGGTGTCATATTTCGTATTATTACGCTCGTACCGTTTCTGATTTCAGAACGTCGCTCTTCATCATCATGAGCTTCATCTATTCAAAGCTACTCGTAGTCGTGTGCATTGCTTACGTGATAAGCGAGGTAGTGACACACAAACTGCCGTTGTACTATTACGAGGGATTCTTCACATACCTTTACGGCATGAGTATCCTGTTCCTGTTGTACGTCTTCTGCTTCCTCCTTCAAGAGAGCGCTTGTTGCGCGAGAGGAAGCGATACGCCACCACCGCCTCCAAGACCACCGAAAACTGGCTGGGCCCCTAAGGAACCTAAGGACAAGAATAAGAAAAAGGATAAGAAAGAAAAGGATCAGAAGCAGGATAAAAAGAAAAAAGAAGCGACTACTCAGGTTCTTTAAAAATATTACCTTTTCGCAAGAAATCTCTAATCTTTCACGAAGAATTAAATTTAATATAAAAACATGTTATATAGAAAAATACATGCAGCTAATTAACACAAAATATATAAATCAAAACTATCGCAGTAACTTGACTAGCAATTTAACTCTTGATATTATTCCAGTTAGACCGTTTAAGGCTTTGATTTCTATAGTTTGTATTATTACACATACACACATATACGGTTCTATAATGTATTATATTGCTAATTAACGCATTTTTGATTATGTAGTTAATATTTTATATGTCATTAAAGGACTCTGCATAAATTATATGGCAAATTATGTTACAACAGATTACTAATTTTGAGCAAGTTTTTCACGGTTACAACGTTATCCATGAAATGTATTTCAATTAGCGTGATATAACAATAAGTTACGCAGATGCTCTCAACGTGTATGTTTAATAACTGTTCTTTACTTCAGACATCTTTGTCTAATTTTTTAAGCCTGACAAAAAATATAATTCAGCCGCTTTTTCAAATCGCAATTAATTTCAATAACAATTTATATTTAATTATTTTTATGATTTAATTCTTTAATCCTTACATTTTCTAATGTAAAATCAATTAAATTTCTGAGACAATGTTTTTTGAACTGGTATATTTTAATTATTTTATTAGCATCATTTTTTTAGGATACAACCGATGTTGAAGCTGGCGTTGCTACGCGAGTCTTGCGAAAACGAAAGACTTCGCAAAATGATCATAGCCATGGAAGCTTCTTCCTCAGAATTGGTGCAATAGGTAAGTCCACAATTTTCGGTGAACGTCGAACGTCGAATTGTTTTTACAACAATTCTTGCAATTAAATAATTGATGCAAATAATATATTAATACAATAAGTTGATTGAATGTAATTTATGTAGCGTTTGGACTTGGTACTATGGTATACAACGGTTTGGAATTCGGTGCATTCTTCGAGGTGCCACCTACATCACCCTGTTATCAAATTCTACAAGGCGTTAATCCGGTGTTACAAATGATCTTCACCTTTATGCAGATGTACTTTATCTTCATGAACTCTCGAGTACGTATTTGAAATTGTAAAACAAATTGATAGAGAAAGACGCGAAAGAACTTAAAAAATGCACATTATGATATTCTCTTCGCAGTTGAATATTCATCGCTTTAAAGTCATCGCTCGCTTTGGTCTGATGCACGTGGTCGCGACAAATCTTTGCGTATGGATACGCACGCTGGTTCTGGAGAGTCTCAAGGAGATCACTCAGTATCACAAAAAACTAGGCCAGTTTCAGGCGGGGATCCTCGGTAAGCGATCTACATTTCATACAGAGTTAATCAGTACCGTCGTTTTAAACCATCGAAGCAGTGGTACGTCAAGTTAGTTTAGTAGTACTGGCGATTATACGCTGATGTGTTGACGTTTTGCAGAGAGCATTAAAATGCACTCGATGCGAAACGCAGGGGCTATATTGGGAACCGAGCCGCGCGACATGGCGCAATTGCGAGAGGCTCCTCTTACGAGGTCAACGACCGTCGCGCCGACCGTCACCAGCACGGTTGTCACAGTCGGCACTGCTCTGGGTCGCGTAATGACAACGACAGCTAGATCGATCGCGGACGCATTCACTTCGCCGTCTCCAACATCCACCTCGACCACCACTTGGACAACCCCGTCGACAACGACCCCATCGACCACTACCTTCGCGTTGCCTAATCTGACGACCACCACGGCGACAACTTTATCCACTCTTTTGACCACGTTCACACCATCGACCACAAGCACCACCACCACTACCACTACCACCGAGAGGATCACCACTATCCCGACTACAACGAGCACCAGCACTACTACAACTACCACGCCGTCCACTACCACGCTATGGTCGCAGATGATAGAACTACTGAACACCGCGCCACAGAGCGACATAGACAACCAAGTATGAACTATATTTCATTACATCGCTATGAATAAATGGGCGAGTTCAAGTTGACAAAGTCAACTAGCTAGCCTATATTCGTTCAGCGGTTGAACATAATTGACTATTACTTATGGATCTCCAATCAATCACATTCAACCGCTCGACGAGTAGGCCAGCTGCTTCGATTGATTTGAACACAACCGATATTATTAAGGCAGCGCGAGCGCTGAGATTTAAGATTGAAGTCTTTCTTCCTCTCGTTTTCAGGTACCGCAGATCTTTGATGTGAGTAATTTGACAAATAGCAGTGATTACTGGAGTCCGAATTTAGGTATCTACGCGGAAGCCCTAACGGAGGATGGCACAGTGTCCAATTCATGCGGACGCGTCAATATCATGGGAACCATCGTCCAGGACGCGGCGCCATATCTATTTCCATTTATAATCGAGTACAGTTTGATCGGGGCAGCAGTGATCTATGTCATGTGGAAGCATATCGGCCGACATCCGCGTTGGCCTCATCTGGCAGAGGCTGATCTCGAACGTCGTTTGGAGGCTATGTTATCGCGAAGAGCTGTCGCTCTTGCTCATGCAGGTAATTTTCTTTTCGTATCATAATTTTTTTTCTATCTCCATATCAGAATATACCAGATGAAATTTTTCTGCATCTTGTTAGAGATAAGAGTATAATTTTCTATTTGTTCGAGAATCGAGTTGTCATAAAAGATATTATCAGGTCACACTAGAGTCGACTGCGTTGGAGCAAGCAAAGGTCTCTTCTTCGGTCTGCTTCTTCTGGTTGGTTCCCTGATATGCCTGATACTGTTCTTCGTGCTGATCCATCACCCGGAGTTCGGATTGCTCGCGATTTATCTCGCTGATGTGTCTCACTGCGTCTTAATGGCGTTATCGATCATCGCCATAATTATCGGCTTCATTCGCGTGCAGAGCCTCAAGTTCAAGGCCGAGGAGCAAAGCGACCTCAATGACATCCTCCTGCGCGTCTCCGCTTTCGGTCTCTTCGTCTACGCCGTCTTTAGTGTGATCGCTGGTTCCCTGGCGGCCTTCACGCACGAGCCGAATCTACTGGTGATGGTGACGGGATTGCTATCGGTCGCCCAGGTGGTCCTTCAGATGCTCTTCATCGCTGATGTGTCGCGCAGGCGAGTTCACCTGCCGGAGCACGATCGCAGCAAGCCCGGCAGACAGGTGGTTACTTTCCTGCTGATTTGCAACGTGACCATGTGGGTGATCTACACTTTCGAGACCCAGAAGGTTATCGCCAATCCGGTGCAGCTTGATTTCTACGGATTCCTCGCTTGGGCTATCGTGCAGAGGGTCACCTTGCCACTGTGCATCTTCCACAGGTTCCACAGTGCCGTGACGCTGGCCGAGATCTGGAAGACTAGCTACAAGGCGCGTCTGGAGTAGACGAGCGGGGAGTCCCGTCATAGTCAATCGTCCGGAGTGATCGTCGGTTGGAACGAAAGAGTGAGCACAAGCAGGTCAGGATGCTCGACGACTTCGATCACGTACATCGATTTCAGGTCTCGAAAAAAAAGGTTTTTTTGAGGAGAGAGAGAGAGAGCGAGAGAGCGAGAGAGAGAGAGAGAGAGAGAGAGAGAGAGAGAGAGAGAAAGAGTGGAAGATCGATTGGGAAGGTCGACGGACGGAAAAATTGCAAAATGACGGATCAGCCGGAATAAACGAACATATAGAGCGTGTCTGACACGCTTGTTGCACGAAGAAGTCTTCGGATGATATCCAAGTCGTTGATAATTGTTAAACAGTTCCAAGAATTCAAGTTGGAAGTTGAAGATATATCTCGTTGAGAAACCCTTTATCGACATCTGAAGAGGCACTTCAGTGATACAATCAAGGTCGATCTAACATCCTCGAAGAGGAGCTTTCGCGTAAAGTGGAGCTAAATATGATCGTGCCGAATCGCAAAACTGTTTTTTTGTCTCCTGTTTTGTGTATGTTGTATTTCTTCTGTTCTTTTTGGTTTTTTACGTTGTTAGCATTGATCAATAGAGACAACAGGGAGAAGGACGGATTAATGACATCTGGACGATTGACGAATATCTTGTCAATCGGACAGGCTTTCGCCGATCTCGGCGTAAACGAAGCAGAAAACAACAAAAATGTTAGCGCATACGCATTTCCCTTCACCGCGTTTCTCACCTTACACGATCTCTATATACTGCCACTAAATTTTCTACTTTTATATGTATAACGTTATATGTACCGTATATGTACCCTCGCCCCATTGTGCATTATCAAGAGCATTGTAGACAATTCGGTTCACTCGCGGGGATTTAAATTGTTCGATATATTTCCCGAAATTTTTCTTATTTCATTCATTACGGATATGTCGGATCGCTGTGATATACTTTTGTGAAAACTTGTGTCGGCGTTGGCGGCGAATCACCTTCTATTCGTACGTTAACGTATCTTTAAGTAAATACTTAAATATTTTTATAAGTCATCGATATTTAGCGGATGAGATTAGCCTCTAAGTTTATCGTGTTTGTTTTACGCTCTCCGATATACCGTATATCTTACGAGGCGTTAATTAATTTTGGTATCAGAATTCGTCGTATCAAATTAGCTGACCGTCGAAGCGAACGGCTTCGCCTTTCCGTATTTTTTATTGAACTAATTTCACGATCGTAAAAGGTAGTGTGAGCGGAGCTCTTAGATTTGTTTATCAATGCACACGACGTGTGACATAATGACAGCAAGTCAACGAGCAAGAAACGAGCGAAATCGTCGTGGTTGCATTTTTCGCGGTCGAAGTTTAACTGCAGAAATTTTGAAAAGAGGCTCGACGAAGAACAGTGTATAATTTCGCGGCGTTATTTGCTTAACGAAAGCAAATCGAGCGACGTTTCAGTTCTCGCGAAAGATCCTCTTGTTCTCGAAACGCTTTCGTTCAAATCGCGAGTGCTTCCTCGCATTCAAGAGCGCGCAATTAACGAGAGACCCGTCTCTTCAAAAGGGACATTTGCAAACGCAAGATCTCCATCGTCGTTTCCCGTTGCGTGCCGCAGAGTACAAAATTGTTTTTGAAATTTTACGAATCCCTTTATCGACACTTTTTGAATATTCGTTCACTTTGAATGAACACGCCGACCGATATCGTGTACCTTTGTCGTATCTTCATCGCGAGCAGTTGGCACACGGAGGGGCGCACGTTTAAAGAACGACGTTGTACGAGGAGTCAATGAGGAAGGAGACCCGTGTTTCGAGCCAACACGAGCGATAGTGTATAGAGAGTATTTTGTTTCATACACGCCGGGTACTCTGAATGAATGGCATATACTCGAAAAGCTTTCACGAACGTAAGCGGAAGTTACGCTCTATGATGCAGATTGCCTGACTAAAATGGTGAACGTAAGAGCAGCGCGAAGGAAGTCAATGATGACTTTTGCGTTTAAAAAGGCTTATTTTCGTCGAAAAGCGATTCGTACGTATTTGTCCTTTCAGCTAATTATTCTGACAGACGGTACGATGTTTAAACATGTCAAAGATTTCCATTGTGAATGGCTTAATTCTTTGAGGGGCGACGGTGCAGCTTGTGTACTTCACGTATAAGTCACAGTATAGTGTATTAGGTGCCACGACATTTGTGCGTTTCTATGTTGGTGCGATGTGGTTTAATTTGTGAACTACAGTGCCTAAGTTTCGCTCTAGTACTGCTTCTCTCTTTCGGAGATCCTGCACAAAATACGCTGACTTTCTCAGCCCCTGAAAGAGTTAAGGGAGAGAATTTCTGGGGGATGGGAAGAGGGAGGGGAGGGGGGAGGGGGGGGATAGAAAAGAAACGAAGACTATAATCGGTTCACATAAATAGAGGAGCTCGCACACCACTCACGAAAATATAAGAGATAATTATTGTCATCATTATTGATTAGTGTTTAAGCCTATCTCAAAGAGATCGATCTTTCGCATTTACTTCGCTATTGATATCGTATGTAGATCGTTGAGAAAAGATAACGTTCATCGTATAGAGACTATACTTTGTGAATTCCTCCACAGTCCTTGTGAAAATACTCCCTTCTCCTGAGAATTAAAGCACACATTAAATTTTTATTTAATAAAATTTATAAATAATGTAAATTTTATTAAGTAAAACTTTCCCGCGCAATGAGAATTAAACAATAATACACAAGACATGCTCGAAATCTTGACAGAAATCATAATTATACACCAGTCGACGTCTTTAGCTTTTGAATTTTAATTATTAGAAATAATATAAATAATAAGAGACGCCCTCTCTC